CTCACTGTTGCGGCCTCTCCCATTGCGGAGCACAGGCTCCGGACGCTCAAGCTCAGCGGCCATGGCTCAGGGACCCAGCCGCTCCACGGCATGTGGGATCCTCCCGGACCGGGGCACGAACCCGCGTCCCCTGCATCGGCAGGCGGACTCTCAACCACTGCGCCACCAGGGAAGGCCTAAAATTACTTTTAACCTATTGTCCAGAACAACCAATACTAAAGATAAAAGCATATTTTTGCCAATGTTTTTCCAAGAAGTATGTGACTTTTATATAGAGCCAAGATCATTTTGAATCTAAAACTTAGTGCCTTTTTTACATTATAATATAAGCATTTGCCTAGTAACTGATTTTAGTGACCTTATGATAGTCTGATCTAGTAGCTGCATTTGACCATTCCCTGTTAACTCACATTTATTTTCAACCTGGTAATAGTTGTAGTAAATAGTGTCAAGATTATCACCTTTATACATTGACTTTTGAATTATTTCCTTAAGAAAGTTTTTCATAAAAACGACTGAGTCAAAGAATATAAACATTTTTAAAGCTCTGCAGACTGCCAAATTGCTTTTCAAAAAGGTTGTGACAGTTCATTCCGCCACCACCCCCTGAGGGTTTATTTTTACACTTTGTCATTATGGTAGATGCAAGGTAGTATTAATGTTAAATTCCCTGAACTACTGGGAAGGGAAAACATTTTTTACCTGTGTATTAGTCCTGTGTATTTTCTCTTTGAAATTGTCCACATCTTTTGCCTATTTTCTGCTGGGGCTTCAGTGGCCCCACTTGCTGACTTTTATGAGTTATTTCTACATTTGATCTACTCTTTGAATGTCCAGTGTTCTTCCAGCCCCACAAAGCAGATGTCTTAGGGCCAGGGTCTGATGACTAGCAAGATCTCAGATCCGTAGACACTCTCCACCTCAGTGGGCCTGCCGCAAGCCACACTGCTTCCTCTCCTGTGGCAGGTGGTGTTCACATTCAACCTGAAATCCTCGCCCAGCTCCGGGGAGCTGCTGTTCATGGAGCGCTACCAGGAGGTCATCCAGGAGCTGGTCCGAGTAGAGCACAAGATCGAAAACCAGAACTCGGACGGGGGTACTGGCACCATCCGAAGAACAGGCAGCGGCCGCTCAACTCTGCAGGCCATTGGCAGCGCTGCAGCCGCAGGTCCGGCTTCCCTGTTGCCAGGTGGTGAGGGAGCTGCGGGAGGAGGGTGTGGGGGAAAAACCACCCAAATCAGAGGCTCATCATGAAGGTGAGCAGAAACCTAGAGAAGGACGCTTGCCTTGAAGAACAGCAGTCCTGACACCTACAGAGTCATTTTCTAGCTGTGCCTAACCTCGCCGACCACGGTGGTCACTTACCTGCCCCTCGAGCTCCTCCATGAAGCTTGTCCCACGTGACTTACACTGAAGAGTGTGAATGCAGTTTCCACCATGTGTTTTGATAGCCATTAACCTTGGGATTTGGGGAGTTGATTATTTTCTTCCCATGTAGTCATTCAGGGATAAAGCACATTATTCTACTTTTCTAGCAAGAGAAGAAGTTGTATCTAACACCTGTGGCCTGGGATTCACAGATGTCAATTCCCACCCTTGGCTGCACTGCAGAAAGGGCTCGTCCTTTCCTTATTTCTTGAAAGTGGAATCTTGTCCCATATTTTTACATCTCTTGCTGGTCTAGGCTCTACATATCAAGTTACCATCACTTGTTGCTCCTTCTGTAAGCTCCCAGAGATTTTCTTTACATCCTTTTTGTTTTTAATATAAATGAGCTCTTCCAACAAGCACTATTTTCTACCTTGCTTTTTTAGTGATGTATCTTAGAGATCTTTTCTGATGAGCACACACGGATCTACCTCATTTCGTCCTACTTTTAGATCCCATTTGGATCTAAACGCCACCTTTTTGAGTTTCTCGTGGTCTTTCTTTCCATGCCATTGTTTTGATGCCGTAAGAGTGGGCTGTAATGATGGTCTTGATATGCATAGATGGTATACTGTGCAGAAGGACCTCAGACATTTTTTAAGTAACTACTTTTCAAAATAAAAGTGCTATGAGAGTCATTTTAACCTCTTGCCTTGTATCCCACTGCTGGGTGTCCAGGGATGGTATTTTACTCCATCTCTGATGTGACCGACAAGCTGCTCAGCACCTCGGGAGACCCCATCCCCACACTCCAGGAGGACTTCTGGATAAGCAGTAGCCCACTGGAGCCCACTGCCCCCCTGAGAGAGGTTCTGGAAGACCTCAGCCCCCCCGCCATGGCTGCATTTGACCTGGCTTGCTCTCAGTGCCAGCTCTGGAAAACCGGCAAGCAGCTCTTGGAAACTGCTGAACGGCGCCTGAACAGCAGCCTTGAGAGTCGGGGTGAGTGTGCTGCTTTTGCTTGATCCCTTAATTCTCAAATGAGGAGATGGGGTTCTGAGATGCTTAATAATCGTGCAAGAAGAAAGTTATCGGGGAAGGAGGGATGGGGAGAAAGGATTATTAGTTCATTTCCTCATGTCCGGTCTGGCAACTTAAATATAGTTTACTGAGTCTCGCCTTCTTAACAGATATAGCAAATTCCAGTCATTTGGGGAAATTCTCTTCTGGTTTATAGATAAATTCAAGGAAGAAATATACATTCAAAAATGGTACCAATGGAATTTGTGCCCTTAAACTGCATACCTCCTCCAGAGTGAATCCCACTTAACCTAAAACCTGAGTCTCAAGCTTGTAAACCAGGTATAAGGGAAAATTTAGTGGACCAGAGTTGGAGGGAGGATTGTACCTTGAGGTTAATAATATCCCAGAATGTGTATATGGAATTCTTGGAGGAATGAAGGTAGAGGAATGTGAAGAAAGAATTAGGCAAAGTTCCACTCCCCACCCATCCTTGATACACACACCCAGCATTGGAAGGACTGACCAGGGAGAGAGAAAGTAACATGTTCTCTCTGAGTAATATGGAGGGAGGAATGGTGAATAGATATGATATGAATAGCCTCCCTTAGGTTCAGTGATTCGATGGGTGAACTCACAGGACTCAGCACATAGTCCTACTCATGGCTACGAATTATTTCATCAAAAGGACACAAAGCAAAATTAGCAAAGGGGAAGGGTTCATGGGGTAAAGTCTGGAGGAAATCAGACACAAGCTTCCAAGAGTCCTCTCCCACTGGAGTCACACGGGATGTGCTTAACTCCTCCAGCAATGAGTTGTGACAACAAACAAGTGTGAAGTGTTGTCTACTGGAAGCTCATTAGTGAGCCAGTGCCCAAGGTTTTTATTGGGAGCTGGTGGCAGAGGGACCCTCTGCCCAGCATGTACCAAAATTCCAGGCTCTCAGGAGGAAGGCAGGTGTTCAGCATAAACCACATTGTACAAACAGTTTAGGCACAATCAGTCGCTCTCATCATTTAGAGAAAGTTTTATATCAGTGTAGGAAACCGTTTACCAGTCAAGTTCACAGACACCAACCAGGGACCAACCTTGCAAGCAGCCCTTTCCAAGGATAGCAGTCTCAGGCCTGCTGTGATAACTCTATTCTGCACACCCTTCCAAATCACTTCTGAGCTGTTGATTTAAAAGTCCTTTAACATTGACCTAGTCCTTCTAGGAAAGTATGCCGTGGCATACACAATGCTGTTTTTATCGAACAATTTCCCTCTCCCTCATCTAGTACTTATATTCTAAAATGAATGGAGATATTATCCAAGCTACTAATAATATTCAAGCTGACTGGTTTCATGCCAATTAATCAGGAATTAACTTAGTACCTACTGTATTTCCAGATTATCCCAAGTACATGGGAGTACAGGAGAGGTATAAGGAATAATCTCTGTCCGTAAAGTTATTTATAGTCTAGTCAGGGTGTCAAGATACAGATAAGATCCCAGCTCAAGTTCTCGGCTGAAGGACGTACCAAGGCAAATGCACAAGAAGTGCCTGATCGGCTTGGGACAGCTGGCTAGGAATGCCAGAGCTTCTGGGTCTGCTGCTGTGGACAGCTGAGGCATCTTGCCAGAGGTAGCCCTGGAACAGTGGGCATGGAATAAGCCCGGTATGCTGGTTGTCATGAAAAATGGCACAGCGTATGTTTCTTCCTCAATATTGGAGAAGATAAAACTTCACAAGTAAATACAGGACAGAGTGTCAATCTCTGAAAGTACCTTATTTTTTTCTGCATTCCTTCTCGATTCATCCTGTTTCCAGGTCGCCGGCTAGACCACGTATTCCTCAGTGCTGATGGCATTCGAGGTTTTCCAAGCGTTCTTCAGCAGATCAGTAAGATTCTCAATTACCCACTTCTGTCAGCCGGACAAATCAAATCAGGTGAGCTGCTTTACTACCCCTTTTTAACCTCCCGGCCTCGGAACATGAGGTCAGCATCAGACCTCACTTTTTCTTTCTCATTTGCTCTCCGTAGAGAGTGTAGAGGAAAAGGGGGGAGGTCCCCCACGGTGCAGCATTGCTGAGCTGCTTCAGATGTGTTGGCCCAGCCTCACCGAGGACTGTGTCGCTAGCCACGCTACCCTCTCCCAGCAGCTGGAGCAGATCCTTCAGTCACTGAGAGAAGCACTACAGCTGCCAGGTACAGGCCCGACTGCATGGGAGCAGATGAGGTTGAAATGGGGAGAGGACACAGTGGAACGGGAAAGAG